ATTCGAAATATAAGCACTTGTAACGCGAAAGTCGTTTGATGTCACATCTCTTATACAATGCAAAATACAATATACCTATAGTACCAAATAAAAGGTGCTAAACGTTTCACTCTGGATGTGAAATGCATGTGTCTTGTACTACAAACGTACTCCATTTTGTTGCGTATTGATTAAACCATCATTTTATTGGTCGCTTGAAGATGAGAATAAGATAGTAAACTGCAATGCAATGAACCCTTTACATATCGATTTGTATGCGTCTGAGAGGCTGTAGCATGGTAATGTTTTATGTCTGCTTATTTGATGTATGTATATGTTCTAAATGTTTTGATCGGCATTCCGCATACGGAATTGTTTATTGATATAATTTAGAAATCCACCCAAAATCATTGATACGCTCAGCAGGTTGTCTTGATTATATAAAAATGTATAGATATGTGCAAAGCAATACACCAACTACTTTGCAATCGTGTATAGGGTAGAAGCGCGGTTGCCACTTCTCCAAAATAAAATGCAACGCCTACGACTCGGCATTGCGTTCGGCGAGAAATTAAATAGTGGAAAAAAGCCGGCAAAATAAAAAATTAAAAGACAAAAAAAGCAATAGCACAGTCAAACCGGAATTTTTATGGACAGGCTCCGATCCTACGTCACATAAAAATCTCACGAAAAATGCAGTAGGAATCCGAATACTAAGTGAAGGTGTACGACCAAAGACCATAATTTGTAATGCCGATCTGCGCAACAGGCTAATCGATACAGCTACACGAGATAAGTGATCGGCGATCACCGTTTGGCGGTCAGTGATCAAGTTGATTAAACAAGTCAACTTGCGCTCGCTTAATCAATTAAATATGAAGACATTGACGAAGGCGAGACGCTCTCTGTCGCATTATTGTCGTTGCAACATGATCTCCCACATACGAGCCGGCCTAAGCATTTGCTTAGGCAACTATCGCTTCCATTAAGTCTGATGATAGCGATAGTCGTTAGCCTGATAGCAATATCATGTTGTATGTGATTATTACTTTTTTTAACTGTTGATCACAGTAACAAGATCATGGTGCCTTTTCGAAAGCCTAAGCAGCAAAACTTATTCGCTGAGTCCTTACTAACTCGCTGAAAGTGAAAGTTACAATCATCGAAGCAGCGATCACCTGTCAAGTGCGAAATGTCTACAAGGTGATTGCAATACTCCTAGTGTTTAATAATGGGTCAAGTCAAATTCTCGATATTTCATTCAAATTAGAGTAACAAAATGGAATAAAAAAGTCAACCATTACCAAAGACAAGAGTCAAATCAGCTAATTAATGCAAAACAAGCAAATCGAGAGGAATTTTTTAATCTGGTCCCATTTAACACTCTTTGAAATACCTTTTGCAGAGAATCGGACAGTATTCAATCGTCGTTTGAGTTAACACCCACTGTGTCTCTTCTGGTCGTAAATAATACAGAAACGAGTAAGAAAGCTCTAGCCGAGACTGCTCGACTACGAAATCCTCTGATTACACAAGAAACCCACACACACTCACACACAGAAAAACATAGGGATGCAAGCATGAACACACACTGGCTGCAGTGTGGGCTTACTACGTTGAAATACGCCCTTTACAAAAGTGGGGGTGGGTATAAGGGTGGGGCGACTCTGCCTTTAAAGGCCCACGAGATATAAGAAGAGAAAAGTTTAATATGCGCGTGATATACACGGGCCTAAAAGTCTCTAGCTCTTATATCTTCTGAGATCGACGCGTTCAAACATACGAACAGACGGACGGACAGACAGACAGGCGGACATGGCTATATTGACTAGCTCGTCGCCCTGGTCAAGAATATATATATACTTTATGGGGTCATCCACGCCCCCTTCTGCCCGTTGCATACTTTCAACAAAACCATTATACCTTGATTTCCCATTGAAAACGGGTTCAGGGTATAAAAAGCAAGAGTGATCTGTGGGGTCATCCTGACTAAGATATGCCCTGAATCCCGCATTCACAATTATAGATACTTCCAACTACTGATCTTCAAAGCAAAGTTCGGCCAAATTTAGAGGGGGTATCCAAAAAATCGAAATAAAAATACATTTAAATTTAAATTTGGCGACTCTAGCTATAACGATGTACGAGATATAATTATATTGATATAATTATGTTGGAAAGCAAAAAACAAGATCTACTCCTGAAATAATACTTACAAAATAATTATGTTCGAAGACTTTAATTTTTAAGACCTACGAAAACACGCATGCCTAGAGGTCTTATAGGTTTTGAGATTAGCTTAGCTCATGTTACATACATTAATAGAAAATCATTATACCCTGAATTGCCATGTTCCATGGGTAGAGGGTGAAAAAAAAAAAAAGAAAAAATAATATCTCGCCCGACGTAGTTTGCTTTTTTGAATGTATTGGCCACCAATAGATAGTTCAGACAGCTGGATAGACCAACCGGCGACAGCCAAGGCATTTAGAAAGTAGCCTCTCACACGCCGCTGTTTAAAAGCTAGGGAAAATAAATTGAAAACTGTAAAGCAAATTACCAGTAAAACGCAAAACTGCGTGGGCGCGTTTTAGCGTTCGGCTTAGTCGCAATTGGGTTTTCATAAGTTACGTATGAGCAGTATTGTAAGGCAGCCCACTGTCGAGTACTCAACTAATTACCTATCACATAAATATTTCGATTTGTTCCTTCACACTACAATAAATCGACTATTACAAAAATTCTATATCGGTCCCAAATTTAACAAAAATTCTGTGGAATAAAATTATTCAATAAAGTCAAAATGTGATAGATATATCAACTTCTAGAAATAGCTACATATGCTACATAAATAAAAGTTATTAAACAAAACGATAGAGCTCTAAAATGTGCAACATTACAAAGTTCGGAAAACAGGGCGTGGCCGCCACGTCAATATATTTTATAATTTTTGATCGGACCTTATAGGATTGTAACAGTAGCTCCCATGCCAGTCGAGAAAATCGTAGCTCTTTTTAATTAAAGTCTTCAAAAGACAGACATTGAATAAAGTCAATAATTCACTAAATTCTTATAAAAATTGTAATATATAAGATATTGCGTGAATGTATAAATTCGTCTTATTTTAAGAAAAAACAAGAAGATTCTAGTCGAGACTGCTCGATATTCTTATCATTCTGCACTTCTTTTATGCACGCACACATTATGCATTCTTCCTCAGTCGCCCGCGCTCTACTAATTTAACCGTGAATAAATGCTCTTATTGTACGATAAAAAGGAATAAAGAGAAA